TTTTTCTTTTTATTGAGGGTGCTTCCCACGTAGCTTGGTGGTAGAGAATCTGCCTGCAAGTGCAGGAGACACAGGTTTGATCCCTGGGTTGGGAAGATCCTCTGGAGTAGGAAATGGCAACCTGCTGCAGTCATCTTGCCTGGAAGATTCCATGGACAGAGGAGCCTGGTGGGCTACAGTCCGTGGGGTCGCAGAGTCGGACATGACTGAGCACATAAGCACATGTTGTTCTGGATATTTTTTTTAATCAAATAATTAGATTTGCAGATATTTCCCTTGGGCTGTGGCTTTTTACTTTTTCTTAATGATATCTTTGAAAGTTTAGCAGTAGTTTTTAATTTTGATGAAGACTAGGAGATCAGGTGGTCTTTTTTTCTTCCTTTGTGCTTATCTAAGAACGCTTTGCTTATCCCAGGATCATGTTTTCTTTGTCTTTTTTTGAGCTTACCCCAGGTGGCTTATGGGATCTTAGTTCTCTGACCAGGGATGGAACCTGGCTCCTTGGTTGTGAAAGCATATGAATCCTAATCACTGGACTGCCAGGGAATTCCCCAGGTTTTGCTTTTATATCTGCGTGTGTAAGCCACTTTGAGTTAATTTCTGTGTACAATGTGAGTAAAGGTCTAGTTTTGGAGTTTTTTCCTTGGTCTGTGGCTACTCAGTTGCCCCTGCACTATATGTTGAAAAGACTCTCCCTGTTGAATTCTCTTGGTGTGTTTATTAAAATCATTTGACCTTAAATGTAAGGGTTTACTTCTGAATTCTCAGTTCTCTTCCATTGATCCATTGATGTCTATGTCTACCCTGCCAGTGCCCCCACTGTCGTGATTAGTTTAGCTTTTTAATAAATTTTGAAACGAGATAGTATAGATCCTGCAACTTGTTATTTTTCAAAACTATTTTGGCTATTCTAGGTTCTTTGTATTTCCATATAAATTGTAGGAACAGAGCATCAGTTTCTAAAAAAAAAAAAACACCGCAAAAATCCCTTCTGGATAAAGTTATCTTTAAAGGAACAGTGTGTTAGTATTTTTATAATATTTCAAGCATTCTATATGCATGGTGCTCCTTTGTCATTTGGACTTTATATTATTGTGAAATCTAGGGCAAATCTGGTCTTTATTCTTTGGCAGTGGTTGTGCTTTTTATTTTCCTGCCTTAATCCTTTTAGGATTTTTTTCCTTTATGCTGAAGATGTTTAATCTTCTAATTCATTATACATGGACCACATGCCTTTCAATTTGGAGCTGTAGAAATATTTTCAATCCAGAAAGATTTTTTTGTTGGTTTCTTTTTTTTTTATACTGGTGATTATTATTTCTGTTCTGTTTCTTCTGATTTTTTCTTTAAGAAGTATTATTTAAGCATTGGTTCTTAGTTTTCCTTTTTTAAAAAAATCATCTTTCATCATTTTCTCTTTTTTGAATGGTGAGAATTCCTCAGGCAAACTCAACTACTGAACTCTGCACTTTGAACCACTGAACTCACGCACTTTGTCTCAGTTATCTCCCATTCCTAATGACTGACATTGTATATACTCAGTAATCATTCAGTTATTGAATTAATAGTTTCTTATCACTCCTTTTATCACTGTTACCTGTCTTATGCTTGCTTTTACTGTTTCACTGTTTGCAGCATTACTTCTTCATTTATGGCTGCACTGGATTTTCATCGCGGGCATTGGCTTTCTTCTAGTTGCGACAAGCAGGTGCTGTTCTCTTCTTGTGGTTCTCAGGCTTCTCATTGCTGTGGTTTCTCTTGTTGCAGAGCACAGGCTTTAGGGCACATGGGTTTCCGTAGTTGCAATTTGAGGGCTCTAGAGTGCGGGCTCAGTAGTTGTGCCACACAGGCCCAGTTGCCCCGCAGCATGTAGAATCTTCTTGGACCAAGGATCGAACCCGTGTCCTCTGCATTGGCAGATGGATTCTTATCCACTGAGCCACCAGGGAAGTCCTTGCAATATTTTAAAACTTACAGTAGATTGATTTTGGGGCTTGCCTGGTGGCTTAGATGGTTAAGAATCTGCCTGCAATGCAGGAGACCTAGGTTTGATCCCTGGGTTGGAAAGTTAATTGGGGAAAGGAATGACACCCCACTCTAATATTCTTGCCTGGAATATTCCATGGACGGAGGAGCCTGGTGGGCTATAGTCCATAGGTTCGCAGAATTGGACATGACTGAAGTGACTTGGCACACACGCACACAGATTGACTTTTGCTCATTGACTTGGAAATAAAAAATTTCATCAGCCTTTTATTTTATTTTATTTTATTTTTCGTCAGCCTTTTAAATATGTCCATCTTTTGTATATATTTGGTCTTAAGTCAGGTGGGAAGTAGTGATTCACCTATCGAGCATCTACATTTGGGATGTTATTCTTTGAATGTAAGTATAGGATACGAGCGTAGCATCATTCTTTAATGATATTCTTTACTCTGATGAGAAGTCCACTTTTAATACATCTGAAGCATTGTGTTTCACCAATACAACATTGTAAATCAACTGTATTTCAGTTTAAATACATAAAATATTATCTCTCTCTTTAAAACACACTCCTAGTCTCATCTTCCAGTCATCAAGTTTATCCATTTCTAAATCTTTTTAATGTGTCCTTTTAACATTAGTTATGCTATTCATGGCACTGTTTGTACTTTAGTATGACAGTATTAGCAATTTTATATCATCTACCAATTCCTGCTGATATTTTTATGTGCCTGTCTTTAGTTTTTATGATAGTTGATTTTATACTTTTATTTTTCCCTTCTGTGTAATTATTTGGATGACATAATGGGATAAATTTATGATTCATGTGCACTATCTTTTTGGCGGGAAATAATTTGTTTTATCAGTTTTATCTGATTCTAGAATTCAGATAATTTTTCAGTGAAGTACTTGGTGATAAATCAGTGCTTGCCTGTAGGCCAAAATTTTTTATATGTATAATCTCAACCCTTGAGGACTTCATAATCCTGATGTTGAGTGGTTTATGCTTATGTAATTTCTTGAGCTTTCTTTTAGTTGAATGATTTTTCTTTATCTTGTTTTCTCTTTTAGTACATGAACATAAAACTTACATTTTATAAAATTTGTCTTGTTTGGCAACAGAGTAGTATTGTTTTGGGTTCATTTTTAGTTTTCTGTCCTTTGTTTTCTTTTCGCATCTTTACCTCCTCTATTATTCTTCAGCGCTTTTGGGATACTTTCTAAGCATGTCATCTTTATTCATCACTGATTTAATTTTGTGTATTGTCACATAGCTTATTCTGTCTTCATAGCATACAGATTTAATTTTCTGTGTAAAGTATCATCATGGATTTTTATTACATACCGCTTTTTCTTTTAACTTGTTGGTATATCCATCTTTTTACTTATATCTCTTCTTCACAAACCACCCCCGGTTGTAGTGCAATACAATGCTTTTTAATTAAAACCCACCTCTGAACTTTGAAAGTTCAGGGAGAAAGGGAGAAAAAAAAAGCAAGGGAACAGAAAGGAAAGAGCAGCAGTTATCGCATGGCCTCACCGTGTGTGAACTCGGGCTAGTTTGGGTGTATTCAAGACCTTCTTCTGTGGCAGCACTTCCCTGGTGGCTCAGACAGTAAAGCGTCGCCTACAATGCGGGGGACCCAGGTTTGATCCCTGGGCTGGGAAGATCCTCTGGAGAAGGAAATGGCAACCCACTCCAGTACTCTTGCCTGGAAAATCCCATGGATGGAGGAGCGTGGTAGGCTATAGTCCATGGGGTTGCAAAGAATTGGACAGGACTGAACGACTTCACTTTCACTTTCTTTCTTCAGTGTCACAAAGAGCCTGTGAACCACCAGTGATGTTTGATACAGACCTGGGGATGATCTAGCAGGAAAAGAAAGAAGTTTCCTGTTCTCAAAACCTACTATCTCAGATAGACAGGGTCCTGTGTATAGCACAGGGAACTCTGTTCATTATCTTGTAATAAACTATAATCACAAATAAAATGAAAAAGAATATATATTAAAGAATATCTTTGCTGTATACCTGGAATTAAAACATCATTGTAAATCAACTATACTTCAATAAAAAATGAATAAATCAATAAAAATAATATTTATAAAAAAGAAAAACCTGCCATCTCACAGTGGAGCCTGTTAACCACTGCCAAAATGTTTAGGCAAATTTATGATCAAATATGTGATGGCTCCTTCTTTTTAAAAAAATTTAAAATTCAGCTTTAATTTTTAAAGCTGAAAGCTGAAAATCTCACCTTTTGTTATATAGCATTTTATATTTGATTGGACTGGTAAAATAAAAAGATCAGTATTGAGGACCATTCATCTTGTAAACAGTGTTTTTAAATTTTTTCTTATACATTTCCATATAGATTTATTCTTGGTCATTTAAGTGATAGGTATGCTTTTTTTTTCCATTTATTTTTATTCGTTGGAGGCTAATTACTTTACAATATTATAGTGGTTTTTGCCATACATTGACATGAATCAGCCATGGATTTACATGTGTTCCTCATCCCAATCCCCCCTCCCGCCTCCCTCTCCATCCCATCCCTCTGGGTCTTCCCAGTGCACCAGCCCCGAGCACTTGTCTCATGCATCCAACCTGGGCTGGTGATCTGTTTCACCCTTGACAGTATACTTGTTTCAGTGCTGTTCTCTCTGAACATCCCACCCTCTCCTTCTCCCACAGAGTCTAAAAGTCTGTTCTGTATATCTGTGTCTCTTTTTCTGTAGGTATACTTTTTATTTTAATTTTTTTCTCCTATAATCATGCCTACATTTTAATAATTAAATCTATGGCACTTGCTAAAATAGCTTCTGGAAAAGTTTAATGTGCTACATGCTGGTAAAAAGAGGCATAGCATTTGCTGATGTCGTTTAGCAGCCACTAGTAACGCAAGAGATAGAAAAAAAAGTAACCTGAGATATGTACTAATAATGGATTTGATTATACTAGCTGGGTTTTTTTTTCAGTATCATTTAAAAAGTTTTTGTTGTTCTATTTTTATTCAGATGACAGAAAGTAATTTTTCGTTGAAGAAGATAGAAATTAGTGTTTCAGAAGCAGAAAAGCGAACTGGAAGAAATGCCATGAACATGCAGGAAACATATACTGCTTACCTCATTGAAACAAGGTGAGTGATGAGAATTATGTCTGAAGTTAGAAAAAGCTTTGGTAGCTGTTGATGCAAATTCTGTTGTATAGTGGAATCATTTACAAGTCATTGTCTTTTTGTTTCTTTACTTTTTAACAGGTGACCAGGTTTTCTTTTACCCTGGTACTCTAGCTAAATTTGAATGTATTTGTTTTGGAGGGAGAACGAAGGTTACTGGATGTTACTTGGTGCTTGCTTTAGTGTCAAGTAACATCCAGATCCCATCCACATCACAGGCCTGCCCATGCGGGATACACGGGTTCATCCCTGTTTGGGAAGACCCCACGTGCCTCAGAGTAACTAAGCTCATGTGCCACAACTACTGAGTCTGTGCTCGAGAGCTCGGGAGCCATGACTTCTGAGGCCACGCGCCACAACTACTGAGGCCCGCCCCCTAGAGCCTGTGCTCCACGGCAAGAGAAGCCACTGCGCACCGCAGCTAGAGGAAAGCCCACGCAGCAGGGAGGACTCCGCACAGCCATAAGTAAGGTTATTTACTTCAGAAACTCACCAGAAAAGTCTTTTACTTCATAAGCAAAAAGTTAAATGAGTTAAACTGTTTTGTCCAGAGAAAAGCAAAGGGTGTGTGTGTGTGTGTGCAGTCATGTCTGACTCTTTGTGACCCACCAGGCTTCTCTGTCCATGGGATTCCCAGGCAAGAATACTGGAGTGGGTTGCCATTTCCTTCTCCAGGGCCTCTTCCTGACCTAGGGATCGGACCCACATTTCCTGCATTGTCAGGTGGATTCTTTACCACGGAATTTTGCTTATTATAAATAGTTTATATCAAGACTACACTGACAAGCTCTTTTCTGTGTGTGAGCTGAGAAGAAATACTTTCAGTTAAAACAAGTAGGGGGGGCTTTCCTGGTAGTCCATTAAGACTCCATGCTTCCAGTGCAGCGTGTGCAGGTTTGATCCCTGGTTGGGGAAATTAGATCCCACATGCTGTGCAGTGTGGCCAAAATATTTAAAAAAATTAATAAGAAAGTATAGTCCATATTTTTTAAAGAAAAGTAGAGGGACTTGCCTGGTGGATCAGGGAAGTATCCTGCCTGTGTACATACATGCATATGTATCAGAGACTTTTAAGTCAATTTTTAAAAAGTATGGTCCCATGAGAGGTTTTTTTTTTTTTTTTTAGTTTAATTAGCCATTTTAAAATATCATACTTTAGAAATTTGTATTGGCTCTAGCTTTTTAAGTAAATTCTTAAATTTAAAACTAAAAAGGATATTTTTAGTATATGCCTGTTTCTTCATCCAGTTCAACAATGAAATTAGCTGTTGATTAACTTTACTGCTAGAAGAACCTCTTGATTTCAATAATCTGGAATAATTTATAGCTGTTTACTCTATTTATTATAGTTGTTTACTCTTGACTTTGAAATGAATAGAGAATTATAATTCAAAAGTTGGAGTTAGAAGTGACCATACATGAGTAATATAGCTAGCCTCTGGATAAATATCTAGGAACATCAGTGAATAATGTGGTACACAAAAGAATATTGAGTTGACTGTCACACTTATATTTCATTTATTTTAAAACAGTGATTCTTAAACTTTAAAATATATAGGAATCAGCTGAAAAATTTGTTAAGCTACAGAATTTTGAGTGGGGTCCAGGAATTAACACATTTTAAGCTTAAGTTCCAGGTGTTTTTGAAGCAAATAAGCCATGGACCATAGTTTTATCTTTCAAATACAAAAGCTTTACATTTTAAGATAGTCAAATTTATCTTTTTTCTTTATAAGTTGTGTTTTCCCTGTCTTAAATTCTTGCCTATCCCATATCATATGCACATCCACTTTGAAAATTACTGTTTATAGATAGTTTATAAATAATTTTGTCAGCACTGTAACTGACCTTCAGCAGCCACAGAACCCTGGAATTTATTATTTTGGTCATGTAGAATTCTTGCTGTAATTCAGTGTTATGCAGAGTATCTTCGACACTATAAATATTGTTGAGCCTTGACATTGACTAAAAGTTCAACTTTATCACATAGCTCATCAACCTACTCTGTGGACACATGAAGAAAGTCAGTTTAGCAGTTGCCTATCGTGTTACAGTTTAATAGGCTAAGGGTTAACAAGGCTAAGGTCATTGATTTTAATTTCTCCAGGGATTTCTATGTTTTGCTGTTCATTAAGTATGAACCCTTTTAAAATAGGTAAGAACACTGTGTGTATTAACAGGTAAGATGCCTCTTTTGTCTTGGGAAGCCGTATGATGTCTTTCCTGAATTCTTCTAATTTGTAAAGCAGGGCTAAAGATCCTGTATACTTTGTCATATTAAATGGTTTAAACGGTTACATTTAATTTAAATATTGCATGTGAAACCAATTATGTGCTGTTAAACATTTATTAAATAATTGGATAAATGGGGTAGTTTTGTGGTCCAAAGAAAGTCTTCTCTATGCTTTTAGGTGGCTTCCGCTGACTTCTTTTTGTGGGCTTTGAAATAAAACAAAGCAAAAACAACTTGTAACAGCTCTTCTAACAGCCTTTAGGTGTACTGCCTATAGGCTATATTTATCTACTTTTTAGCAAGATTTGGGCTCTGTTGGTAATAATTTTGAATAATTTGAAACTTGATATTAACCCAAGATATGTTTTTTTAGCTGAAGTCGAAAATCTGAATTAGAACAGTTTTAGTCAGCTAATGGTTAGGTCAACTCTTTAAAATGAATTATCATTTAATAATCCTGTATCTTGCCATGAAAACCATTTGTATATTTTGAATTTCATATTGTTTCCCTTTTTAATTAATATACAGTGAATTAATTTAGAAAACGATATATAAATAATAAAAACAATGAACATCTTGTGTTGAGCATGGTGTGGTGTATCCATTTTCTCGAGACTTTATTCTGAGACTGATTTAGCCTCTCTGCCTTTATACTGTACTTGCACAAATGCACATTTTGGTTATATGCATGTTTCTTGGAGGATCTGTAAGTTATTTTCTATTAGGAAATGGGAAGGTTCCAATAATGTTTAGAAGGCTGATGTTTTCTAATAGTCATTATGCTAGCAGAAATGATAAATAGTCAAAATAACTTCAAATATTATTTTTATGATTTTACCCAGCTTTCCCCCAAATTGAACTTTTATATGGATGACTCATGGCATTACCTGCAGCTCTTTATATTAAATATAAGACTAGAATTAATTTGTTACATCCCTTCTTGCCGCTCTTTGACAGTTTACTTTTGTGGATCTTTTCTGGCACTTGGATGCATCTGATTTTTTGATGATGTTAAATTGAGGATTTTTTTGGTGTCATGGTCTTTGGCATGAATGTTGTTCTGTCATTGTGGCAGGAGTTGTTCTTTCATTGTGAGAGTTAAAAGTACTTTTTTCTTTAATGAAACACTGGTGAAGCCAGACTCTTACTATATTATAAAGCCAGCCATTATGTTAACTGAATTATCTTATATTGAGGCTTTTGTTGAGAAGAATATTCCTAATATGACTATTTCTCTCAAGTTCAAATAGGTTTTCTATAATGGAGGAAAGTGGTTAGGAGTGAGGGCTTGGGAATCAGATGGATCTGAGTGCTCTACCCACAAATCTTTGTGATTGAAGGAAGAGCATATACCATGCAGCTGCTTTCTCATCTGTGAAATGGGGACAGTAATCCCTGCTTCACCAGGTTTGTTGTAGGAATTAAATAATACATGAAAAGTTCTCAGTGCCTGGTTCATAGCCCTCCTGGTTCATAAGCATTCAGTAAATGGAGTTACCAGTTTTAAAAGGAGGTCGTATGCATGCATTTGTATTTTTAAAAAACACTAGAAATCTTATTCTGTCTTTTTCAGGTCAGTTGAACATAGTGATGGTCAGAGTGTCCTAACAGACTCACTGTGGAGGCGGTGTAGTGCATTTGAGTGGTTGAGAAACTACCTTTTAGTTTACTATCCACATATTGTTGTGCCACCTCTACCAGAAAAAAGGGTAAGGAGTGAAGTGGTGGTGTAGTTTAGAAGTAGTTAGCATTGAGACTATTCTTCATGATTGTTTTGTTTATCTAGGCAGAATTCGTTTGGCATAAACTCTCTGCTGACAACATGGACCCGGATTTTGTGGAAAGACGATGAATTGGTTTAGAAAATTTCCTCTTGAGACTTGCTTCACATCCCATCCTTTGTAGAGACAAAATCTTCTATTTGTTTTTAACACAGGTATTTTTCTTTTATTTAGTCTTTTAAAAAATTTCATTTGACTTGGGATTTTTAAAATTTTAAATTGTGGAGTGCTTCTTCTTAAGGATTCTCTTGGAGCTGCCCTTTGTTAATTTATATGTATTTCATGGTTTGTTTTGAATTTCCAAAGTATTACATCATTCTTCTGGCTAACATTTTTATACTTAAAGATACTAAAGATTGTACTTTTTGGTATCACTTAAATGGTATGAAAGTTAGTCTTTAGTGTTTTGAATCCCAGATCTATAAAATCTTGGGGCTGTCTCTGGTAATCTTTTGGAATCTGGATTGTATGTGTAATTTTGCAGTGAAAAGAATTCTTTTTTAACCCCTCTTCCCCCATCTCCCATGAGGGAAGAACAGAATGATGGGTATTTTATTTGGGATATTACTTATGGGCTATTTTACAGTGATATCTAAAGTTACCTTTAATTTTTAGGAAGGCAACTGGAAAGAGACAGTAAATGAAACTGGATTTCAGCTGAAGGTAAGGGTAATTGTATGAAATAATTTGTCATGTCTGTTAACAATTTCTAGCCCAGTGCCATGCGTTAATGGGTACCTGCTGTTTATTGGAAGTGAATGTTGTATGAGTGAATATTGGAAATAGGCTTTACAGCTAATATCACTGGTAAAGTTTTTAAAGAAACAATGCAGTTTATTTTTGATTGGTGTAATTTTTGTTACTAGTGAGACTATAATGGACATATTTATGTATGAATTTAATTCTCTTGGGAAAGAACATTTTGAAACAATAATTTAGGTGTAAGTTAGATTTTTCCCACAGTATGGTCATATTATGCTTTTTATGTTTTTTTCTTTCTTCTGTCCTTATCACGGTCACTGTCAGTGGTGTCCGCATAATTGCTCACTCTGTTAGATAGAAAAGACACTTCTAAAGGGTTGAACTTGGGTTTTCCTATCTTAGTAGGCTAAAAGAGTAGTCATCAGTCACGCTTATTTTGTATACTGAGACAAGGTGGCCAGTTTTGAGTGGGCATAGGATTCATTTTGTATCAGTGATATAGGTTTAATTAGATTTTGATTGCTTATCATATTTGACCATTAGAAGTTAGTGTTTGGGAATGGAACTGTTTCCTAAAAATTAAGGAGCGTGTCAGTCATAAGGTGACTGCCCTCACTCTGCTCTGCTCTCCCCTCCCTCTTGTTTCCAAAAGTAATTTAACATTGCAGATTTTTAAGTTTTCATCTCTTATGTAAACAGAATTAGGTAAGAAGAAAAAGTAATATAAATTGATATATAAGTTGATAAACAGTTCATATGATATTGCAATAACAGAAGTTCAGTAGATTTAGGCAGCAAGAACAGAATGTCTTTACAGTAATTTTAAGAACTAGAGATTAATGCATTGGCATATAGGTGTTTTAATTTTAACACAAAAAGACAGCAGAAAATGTTTTTTTCTTCACAGAAAATGTAATTAAGTGTCTAATATTTTCATAAACCAATTTTAACTTACTGGTTCAACTTATGAGTTATCTGAAACTCCAGATAACATGAAAATTAGTATTTTCTTAGCTATAACTCACTGTGGTGCTCAAAAAGAGAATAATGGAATTTTAAAGATGATTTGAAATAACTGTGACTTTAAAAAATTGTTTATATTTTGATAGAATTTTATGAGAACTAGTCCATGATTTCTTAGGAGCTAATATTAAAGAAAAGAACAAACTGAAATATTTTTTTGGGTAATGTCTCTTTATATAATAGAAAATTTAAAAACTTTTAGTCATTGTTTTAGTCATTATTTTAGTAACTGGTTCTCAGTTGTTTTTCCTTAGCGCAGTTTTTGTGGGTAACTGGGTGGCCTTGAGAAAATTCATGAATTTCCTCATCCATTTAGACTCTTCTGTTTACAGAGTGCTTTGAATCTTGTGTGTCAATGCTACCTAAGTGTTTAGATACGATGTTTTATATTTGGGTAGCCTTATGGTAAAATCCTAGTTTCACTTTTATAAAATCTTTGAAAGGTAATACTCTGTACACAGTATTAGTAATTTGAAAAATAGAAATTGAAATGGACTAGACATAAAATGTATAGGGAAAATTTGGAAAAACTTGCAAGGAAATGGAACCTTTTGGACTAACACATGCATGTACATTCATGCATACATTTAAGCATGTACATGCATCTCTGTATGTCTATATATATATAGACAGGCTTCCCTGGTGGCTCAGAGGTTGAAGTGTCTGCCTGCAATGCAGGAGACCTGGGTTCGATCCCTGGGTTGGGAAGATCCCCTGGAGAAGTAAATGGCAACCCACTCCAATATTCTTGCCTGGAGAATCCCAGGGACAGAGGAGCCTGGTGGGCTACGGTCCACGGGGTTGCAAAGAGTCGGACATGACTAAGTGACTTCACTCCACTTCACTTCATGTATGTATAGAGAGAGAAAGACTCACTTCTCTTATCTAGAGGTTGTGTATTTGGTAGTTTTAACTAACGTGATCACAGTCAAAAGGTGGGATTTAGAACTGACTTCTGAGATGTTCAGATGGGTGTGACATAACTTACTACACTGCTTACAGATATACTTTGGTCCTTTCAGATAGTATCCAATTAATTTTATTGTAGTTATCCAGACAAACTTGACTTATTTTTAGTCTGCAGCCTACTAGAAAGTTTTAAAGGTCTAAAGGTGAATACTGCTGGAGATAGGCATACTGTGACAATAGTGAGAATTGACAGCTGAGGCTGCTGGTAAAGTATAACAGTGACATGAGAGTCAGACACTGCAGTACTGGGGTCTGTGGCATGGTGCCAAATCCCCACACACCTTTGTAGCCTCTCGTGCTTCATTGCATCACAGGTGGATTCAGTATTAGTTGTTTATAGTGGTTACTTTGAGGCTTCCAGAAAAGGTTGAATTGCTGGCTGAGTACTTATAATTCAGTGTTTTTTCTTCTTCTTCTTTTTAGCATGCAACTAGTTTTTTGATGTAAAAAAATTTTTTTAAATTCAATGTTTCTTCAAGTGTGGTCAGTTGGCTTCATGAGTCTCAATTTGTTGGGATTGTTCAGAATATTGAATCCTAGAGTTCATTGCAGACATACTGACTCCCATGGGCCTAAAACTTGACAAACATTGTTGTAAGATGACAGATAAGAATGTTTTTAGGAAGATAATTTTAAAAGATTATCAAAATTGGTAAGAAAAAAAAGTTTAGAACAAAAAGCAGTATTTTGTCTGAATATCATTACCATTAAATGTTTACTATGTGCTTAAGCACTGTACTCTGATACAGTGTTCATGCTTTTTTTGCTGGCAGTTGCCTCAGTACCTTTGAGGTTAGTTCAGTATTATCCCAGCTTTTTAGGTCAGGAACTTGAGAAAGTGACTTAATCCACAGTCATATAGTTATAAGTGATAGAGGCTGAATTCAAGTCCAGGCCTTCTTAATTACCATTCTGTATTACTTATCTTTTCACTAGCTATTTACATAATTAATGTATATAAAGATGGTTGGTAAAGGAATGTTGCAAACTATATTTCAGTGAAAATGAGATTGTTCTGAGTCAGACTGGAGCTAATATAGTGTTATAGGTCAATAATACTGCAATTAAAAAAAAGAATATTTGAACTTGGCTATTGGATTGTCATCATCAAATTGAAATAATAGCTTTAATTTCTCTCTTCTAGACATGTTTAATCTGTAGTTTGGGCCTAAGAGTTTACATTCTCTTAAATATTTTTAGAGTATCACACTCAGCAAGATAATTGTGAAAATTTAGTTGTATAAAAGTCTGTGCTTTATTTTTTTTTGGCCATCCTACATGACTTGTGGGATCTTGATTCCCCAACCAGGGGTTAAACATTCAATGGACACCCTTGACAGTGAGAGCACAGAGTTCGAACCACTGGACCACTAGGGAACTCTCTCCCCTCCCCCCACCTTCCCACTCTTGTTCTTCATTTAACACAAATATGAGCAACAGACTTTTTCATCACTGTTGTATATTGGCATTCCTTTGTTTTTCTTGAATGTCTATATGATACTTTTGTTAATTCACTGAAGGGAGATCAGAGAGCTTATCTTTCGAGTAACGAACATATTAACTAGTTACTTTAATTTAAAGAAATACCAATTTAACCCAGTTACATGAAAGTAAGTGTCATCCATATGCCCCAATCTTAAATGAATTTATACTTCCCTGAATTTAGGGAAGTATCTAGAACCTTGTTTGTTGCCTGGAGCAGGAACTGCCAGAGACAAGATCTGAGCCTTTAGGATCTCTGCTAAATCTGGAGATTCCAGATGCTAGGTACCTACAGACTGTCGGATACTCTTCTAGGTGCTGTGGATCCAACTGTGAATAAGCTGGAAACATTCATAAGCTCTATGTTCTTATGTTCTTATGGAGCTTATACTGAAGTAGTTGAAGACTTTAAATTTACATCTGTTTAAGATACTTTGAAAGTTATAGGTGATAAAAAAGAAAACAGTTATTGTGAGAGAATCTGACAGCTGGAATTTTTTCCCCAGGGGTTATTTTGAGATATGACAGTATAATATATTGTTCAAATGGAGACAGTTTTGAGAATAAAAAGAGGCTCTGCTAATAATTAGGTTAGGACAGCAGGTGTAAACCAGTACTGTTCTGGGCAAACTGGGTCACATGGTTGAAGAGAACATTTGAGCTGAGACCTGAATAATGAGAAGCCTGCAGTGAAGTCAGCCTAAGGGGTCAAGGAAGAAGACTGTTAGAGACAGGACACACAGGTAATGGTTTACGAGGTAAGGTTTGGAGGAAGGTAAGAATCTGAAAATGAAATAGAGGAAAGACAAGGTCTAGGACAAGAGAAGTATAATATGTAATAGGAATTGGAAAGGGAAAGGGAGGTGGGGATTGAAGAATATGGGAAGGTAGTAAG